TACATGTTATGCGGCTAGAGTTTTGACACCGAGTAAATGGGCTCTGTGTAATTCTTTTTCGCTTGTTTATCGTCATCGGTCTTTTTCCTTTTACCTCTTTGTTTTATGAGCAGGTGTCACTCGAGAATTGGCAGTTTAGGTTGTTTCTCCGTCATAAGCACAGCTGCAGCACGCCGGCAATCTTGAGTTTGAACGACGGCTCGCGCTCCGGCGCTCGCGCTGTGCAAGAGAGGGGTGTGATCAGCGCGTACACGAGCGTGATTGACAGTGCTAAGACATGCCTCCTGGCTCTGATTGGTTGTTTCTGACCGGGAGCGTGTATTTCTTGCAAATGGCAATAGGACCACTGGGAGGAGCCAGAGGAGCTTGATTTTTACACAGATTATCTGTCTCATATTCTACTGTCAGGACATAATGACAGTTTTAGCAAATACATGTTTTCAAAAGTTACCTATAGCTTTAAGCTCAGAATAATTATTGTTCCTTGGTGGAGATTTTAACTGTACTGAAAATGATAAATTAGACAAGAATCACTTAGAGCCACATATTGCCTCACAAAAAGCTCTCACACAATTGATAAGAGCATTTGATTTATGTGATGTTTGGAGGAATGTGCATCACAACCACAGACAATATACTTGGGCACATAGTAGAGATAATCGAGGCAAGACTGGATAGGCTTTATGTGTTTAATTATCAAGCAAATCTTGCTAGAGAATGTAAAATAACTGTTCTGTTGTTTGTAATATTGGTATTAATTCTGTGCATTTAAAGAGTGCTTATTGGCATTTTAATACATCCCTTTTAAATGATAAAAAGTTTATTGAAATTTTTAATTTGTTTTGGGAAACAAAAACAAAAACAGTTTTATACTTCCTACAACAATGGTGGGTTTGTGGAAAGGTCCACAATTGTGTCAAGAATACACTCTTAATGTCACTAAAGAAATGGCCCAGTCAATGAAAAAGTTAGAAAATGAAATTATAGAACTTTTGAGTACAGCGTCTACAGGTGATGGTGATTGTTTTGAAAGCAGTAAATCCAAAAAAGAATTGCTTGCAGACTTATTGAGTATGAAAGCTCAAAGGGTGTTAATCCGTTCACGATTTCAAAGCATTTCACAAATGGATGCACCATCTAATTTTTTTTCAATTTAGAAAGAAAAAATGGCCAGTCGCATTATTCATTCATTACGCTCTGACGCAGGAAAGGAGTTTACTGAGCCTAGTGAAATACCAAACATGCTGTTGTTTTCTACTCAAACCTATACAAATGTGAATTGTCTTAAAGAGAAGATGAAGACTCCACTTTTCTTAATGATCTTCCAAAGATTGATGAGGAGTCTTAATACTATGCTTGAACAATCTTTGTCACAAAATGAATTATACACAGCTATGATGAGTATGGAAAATGGAAAGGCATTTTGCGACCAAAATTTGTGAGTGTGCGACTGAATTTTACATCCAGTCTACATGTGTGACTAGTAAATTTGCCCTTTTTTTTTTTACACGTTAAACGTGGAAGGGGCGCATCAATGAATCCGGAATGAGTGGCAGGCCAATGAGTGTGACAAGAATAGGGAATGGCCACTGTAAGTGGCTAATGTGTGGAGGGGGAGGGTCCTATAGAGATAATCAAGCGCGTGTAATTTAACGTCTGTGGAAAGGAGGAGACGGAGACAAATATCACAACCTGCTATGTGTGTCTGAGCAATGAGCAAGCGATCTATCGACTCGTTCTTCTGACCTGCGGCTAGTGCCAGAGTCTACAGTATCACAGTCGGATGATGACTCAGGGTCAGAGGTTTGTGTGGCGAAAAAGGCCCGAACCCATGATTTTCGGGAAGACTGTTCAAAGGTTATTTGGTGTTAATGGTGGTCTAATTTCGTTAGACCAGGAAAAAGCCTTTGACCGTGTAGAACATGCATATTTGAGAGATGTTTTAGAAGCCTTTGGTTTTAGTCAGAGTTTTATAAATATGATTGAGGCCATGTATCGTGACATTGAGAGTATACTCGAAGTCAATGGTGGTTTAAGTGCTCCTTTTGAAATTCAGAGGGGAGTTAGACAGGGATGTGCTATGTCAGGAATGTTATACTCCCTGGCCATTGAACCTCTGCTTCATAAATTAAGAACGGAGTTGAGTGGGTTTACTATACCACACTGTAATGTCACGTTGCACCTTTCTGCTTATGCTGACGATGTAGTTGTTTTTATATCTGATGCTGATGATATTGAAAAATTGGAGATTATTGTTAACCGTTTTTAAAAAAAATTCTTCTTCAAAAGTTAACTGGGAAAAAAGTGAGGCCCTTTTAATGGGTCATTGGAATAGAGGAACTCCAAGTTTGGAGGTTTAATCGGGAAGAAAGACGGATTTAAATATCTTGGAATCTTCTTAGGTAATGAGGATTTTGTTCAAAAGAATTGGGTTTGTATGCTAGAAAAAAATCAAAGGACGTTTACAGAAATGAAAATGGCTACTTCCCAAACTGTCTTATCTAGGTCGTACACTTATAATCAACAATCTGGTGGGTTTCCTCTTTATGGCATAAACTGGCTTGTGTTGATCCGCCTGTCTGACTTTTGCCAAAGCTTCAAGGAGAAATGGTTAACTTTTTCTGGGACAATTTGCACTGGACACCTCAAAGTGTTCTTTTCCTGCCAAGGGATGAAGGAGGTCAAGGCTTGGTAAATCTTGTTAGCAGAGGAGCGACTTATCGGCTACAGTTCATTCAGCGATTACTGATGGGACCTCAGAATCTAGTGTGGAGACCATTTTATGTGGGGTGAATGGAATGGGACTTCATGCTGCTCTTTTCTTAACGGATCATACTCTTCTGGATTTGACTAGACTACCTTCTTTTTATAAAAGTATTTTTAAAGTGTGGAGACTAAACATAAGTGGACAGAGTCAGCTACATCTCTTTTCTGGTTGCTTGAGGAACCTGTGGTGTTTGGGAGTCGCCTTGATGTGTCAGGAGATGACTTTCCAGGGCTATAAGACTTGCTTGTGTCAAAGAAATTACTGCAATTGAAAGATATCATTGACAAAGCAGGACCTGGACTAAAAAATGCAGAAACTGTTGCTATACATCTGGATATCAGATCAGTGAGATTTGCTGGAAAGTTTCTGAACAAACTGGACTTAAACTTAAACCCCAAGGAAATAACTCTACTCGGGAGATACAGTATGGGTGATATTTCCCCTGACGCTAATGACTTTTTCCCAGACATCAGAATTATACCTGATCTTGAAAAATCCTCATATAATAGTCCACTATTGTGTTTGAATAATAATGAAAATGTTGATTTTTGTACAGTTAAAGGAAAGGTGATATATAAATGTATTGTGAAGATAATAAATAAACATACGTTAAAAGACAGAGTTGACCGTATGGAGAGACACACTGGGAGTCGTACAGGAAATAAAACCAGAGTGGAGAGTACTATACAAACCACCATTGACTAAATGGGCAGGCGATCTCCAGTGGAGAATCTTTCATGGTGCAATCGCTGTTAACGCTTTTGTGACGAAATTGAATCCCACTGTAAATGACAATTGTCCTTTTTTATTTCTGTTCAGAGAGAAAAACAACATTCCATTGTTTTATGAATTGTGACAGACTTTCTCCACGCTTTGATCTTTTAGATTTTTTATTTTCTTTATTAGGGATTTTTTTTTTACAAAGCAATGTTTTATACTTGGCTTTAAGTATAGTAAACTACAGACATATAAGTGTCAATTAATTAACTTTATTGTTGGTCAAGCCAAATTAGCGATTTATATTTCAGAGAAGAAATGAAATAGAACAGAGAAATGGACAACACATTGTATCAGTTTTTAAGAATATGTTCAAATCAAGAATTCTTGTTGATTTCAATTATTACAAGATGATGAATGCAATCAATGTTTTTGAGATTGAATAGTGTTGTGAAGTTGGTATGTGTTTTGTACTTAATGATGAGTGTTTCTAAAACTCAAAAAACTCTCTCTCTCTCATTTTTTTTACCTTTATATAAATCACCATCATTTTTCATTTTGTCATGTGCTGTGCTGTGCTGTCACGTACACACGCGAGAGATCACTTCCGGTGCTTTCCGGCTCTTGCCGGAAAAGACCGAAGCGCCCGCGCCCTCAGATCACTTGGACGTGGCTGTGTTTACAAGAGGTAAAAACGATATAAATACTGTTCGTTTTCTCACACAAACTGCTCGTTTCGTGTCTTAGGCCATCAATGTGTACTTACATTTACGAGTCATTAAATCATGTTTAATTTGGACTTCTCTGTGCATGCTCTTTGAGGAAGTTACCATAGACCTGCATTATATGACTAACAGAGAAGAACGGTTTGACCTAAAAATATCAAAATTGAAACTACTGCGGAAACAAAGACACCTACATCTTGGATCCCCTTGAGGTAAGCTAAAACATACCAAAAATTAATTCCAAAGTGAACTATCCCTTTAATACCTCCACAAAGGTCCCTTTCACAATATTTTTAGCAAAGGGTTCACAAGGCTGCTGCACAGTTTACAGGCCAGTACAGCAAACCACATAAACTATACAAGAGAAATGTGATGCATTTCATGTATTTGAGCTACAGTATGAATATTTTTTTAGTGTGACAAAATATAATTTCTTTTCTCAAACCATTATTATATTCTAACAACTTTGACTGGGTTGAGCAACTGTCAGTCTGGGCAGATCAGTGCCACCTTGGACTTTATGTGGAATGGAGTGTATTTTTCTCTCTCTGGAAATGCTTACTATTGATGTGAAAGCAAAGAGGGGTTTTTTATCTTTTTTTTTTAACCATAAAGTATGGCTGTTTTAAAATACAGTTTTGGTGTCGTGCACACCTAACGTGTGCATAATTGTGGATAATTTACAAACAAATGTCTAGAGCAAATCCCTTATTTCTTTTTAATACAGTAAACGGTTTACAATATTTCAAATAAACCACATTTTTTTATAATTACCAATGAAAAATACTGACCTGTTTTGCGGTTTCCTTTTTTTCTTGATTTTTATCCATTTCCATTTGTTGTTGGTGGATTGACTTCTGTTTTTCTTGGTCTATCTTTCTGATGACTTCAGATTTTTTCTCTTTCCAAGCATCATAAGAGGCCTTTGCATCTGCAATTTTAGCAAGCTTTTCCTTCAAAGGGAAATGACAATAAATAAATCATAACATGGCTGTGGTGACTAAAGAATTCAATGAATTTATTGCAGAAAAAATGTGTATTGAACATTTTCTGGTGCGTCCGAAATCGCGTACTGTCTAAGTAGTTACAGTACTACATTTGAAGTTAAAATTCATGACGGTTAAAAAAGTACTTTCTATATAGTATGAATGTATGTTGTTACTGTCATGTGACCTACAAACGTCAGTTGCATCGATTCACTGCCTTTCAATAATCCTCTCCCATATGGCCTCGTGGGATAGTAAAGCCTTCATCGAATGTGCACTTCAGATTCTCGGCGGTAGTAGGAAATCAGGGTACTTTTCGCCGGGGACTCTTTTGACGTACTGTTTTTCGCATACTATATAGTAGAGAAGTATTCGATTTCGGACGCAGCGTTGGTTTATGCTAATTACCTCTTGCATTTTCTCCTCTTTCAATTTCTCTTCCTGCTTTTTTGCCCTGCTTGTTATTTTTAAAGTTTCTTCTTTCTTTTTTAGCCATTCCTGTTAAGAAAATGTTTTTCCCAAATTTAAATTAAAAATATATAAAAAAAAAAAAAATCATTAGTCAGCCTCTATCTGTAACTAATTATTATGATGTTTTTAGTAAATGATTAATCTAACCTGGTACACAGCAGCTCTTAGTGAATCTGCTGCTTCTGGAACTTGTTGGATTTCCTGTGTCCTTTGATCCAAAATCTTCAATGTTCCCAGGTATTTAGACTCCACTATATATGAGCTTTTGGACTTTCTGGAACTGGATGACCGGGAGCTTGAAGGTCTAACATCCAAAAGATATTCTTTCAATGTTTGATGCATTTAAGTAACACTCTTTAGGTGCACCAAGTAATTGTTTCCTTATTATAATATATACAGTATATATATATATATATATAAAAATAACATATATGAGTAAAGGAAACAAGGTAGGGAAAAAATAGCATGAGAAAATAATTAACAGAAGTGTTGAGTTGGTGACTTCCATGTGGCTTGGTATCAATAAAGTATGTTAATGTAAATGATATTATCCATATTATAGTAGTGGTTTCTTGTTGACTGCCTTAAAGGTTATACATTCGTCTCTCTATTAATATGGATTACTTTCCACTATGCATTTCGAAATCTCAGAAATCTCAGGTTTCATTAAAAATATCTTCAGTTCCCTATCAGTCAGTCACGTTCGACATTAACGTCAGTGACTGAGAAATTGGGATTCTCGCCTGATAGCCCAATTCACCTTCAAGTGGTAACAGAACAAGCCAATGTGCATTGGCGAGTGAGATTTGCATCGCAAGCCGCACTCCCGTTTCCGGGTATAATGGCAGTGTGCAAATACTCACATTAAACTTTCGCTTCAAAGCCGAGCAGACGTTTGTCTTCACCCTGCTCTTAATCATCGTTCAGTGTCTACGGAACAAGAGGGAAGCTGTTTGTGTGCGTTAGTGTGACAGCGCGTTCCAGCGGAGGTCACGTTGCTGAGTGAGTGCACGGTCAAATGCAGCGGCTGTTCCCCTGGGCCCTAAAAGAGTAAACGCGTCTTTTTAAAGATGTCTTTCCACCCGCGTATTTCTGGATGCGGTCGTTTCCTGGCCCCGTCTGACAGCCACAATCTCTGCCTCACATGTCTGGGCCGTAAGCACGCTGAGGTGGCGTTTGTTGATGAGTCATGCATCCACTGCAGGAAGATGACTGTTGGGGATTGCCCCACTGAATGCCGGTTCTTTAATGTTCGTAACCACTTCAGTACTCTGATCAGGGAGTAGGAGTCATCATATCTTTTACACCTTTTATTTATGTGCAGGGTTTTACCATATAAACATATGAACTATGCATTGGAGGTAGTTTCTGCAATAAACAAATAAACAGAAGTGAATAACTAAATGTTAAACATACATGCCCACATACTGTTGTGATAAACAGTACATTACCAATTAAACAATTTTAACAGCTCTCTCAAAGTGTGTTTAGCAGAATAAGAAACAAGCAAACAGAATAACAGAGCATATAAACAACTAAAGGTACATTATACGTCCTCGTTATGGTATTAAAGTATAACAAATATAGAATATCTTATACAGATGCATAGACAAAGTTAAATGAAGTATGGCCAATATTAGCAAGATAAGCCACGATGCTAGCGGCACTCTCACGTGCGTTTCACATGTCAAACTAAATAGATCGCGAAACACCCGCGACTTACAAGCTTAATGTTAGAGATAATCTCAGCAGTATAAACATCCAGTATTACGAATATAAAGTCAGGAAATATACTCACTTCGTCAATAACTTTTGTCCTGCACTCAGAGATACTGCACGGGTGGATAATTGCGTCATATTCTGACTGCTCTGTATGCGTAACTGAGAACGCGTCACTTACGCCAAAACAGCATCCAATATAATTGCGCACTACGTACTTTCCACATGCATTAAGTTTTCTACATAATACTTCCTTCAAGGATTCAAGGATATAGAATACAGCAGTAAATAATACTTAAAGACATAAATTGCAAAGAATTCACAACAGCCGCCCCACATTTGAGCAGCAAATGTGCAATTTAGGAGAAATCTTTAAGAGTCTTTGTTGTCCTCTAAGGCTGGCAACAGAATAAGGTGAGCAACTGGCCTGGTGTACACCTTATCCTTGACAAGAACATCAGCTGTTCTCACACATCCATCTTTACTGACAACAGTCTTAACCACTTTACCGATAGGCCACTGAGCTCTGGGAAGTTGTGGATCAACTATCAAGACTACTGAGTCTACTGTCAGAGTTTCTGATGGTTTGTGCCATTTCTGGCGTGTCTGGAGCGTAGGCAAGTAGTTCCTTGTAAATTGAGTCCAGAATTGGTCCACAAGATTTTGACAATGCCGCCATCTGCGCCGCCCCATTTCTCCTGAGGCATACGCCACCTGTGGAAGCGATGCATCCCGCCGCCCCATGAGGAGAAGGTTTGGTGTAATGGCGTCGAGGTCTGCAATGTCTGCTGAGACATATCCGAGGGGTTTCGAATTTAAAATGCCCTCTACCTCTACTAAGACAGTAGACAGGACCTCTTCTGAGATGGACTGACTTCCAACTGCCACTTGGAGAGCAGCTTTAATGGAGCGGACCTCTCGCTCCCAGACGCCACCAAAATGAGGAGCATTAGGCGGATTGAACTTGAAGAGGATCTGGTAATTGGCTAACTGCTCTTTTAATTGGGAGTCCATAGCTGCAAAGGCTTCTCGCAGTTCTCGATCGGCACCACGGAAGTTTGTGCCACAATCTGACCTGATCTCCTTTGGTCTGCCACGTCTGGCTATGAATCGCCGAAGAGCAAGCAAAAAAGCATCCACATCCATGGAGTTGAGAAGCTCTATGTGGACAGCTCTTGTGGTGAGACATTTGAAAATGACACCCCAACGTTTCTCAATCCTTCTGCCTATTTTAACATGATAAGGGCCAAAACAGTCCACTCCTGTAGAATAAAATGGGGGAGAGAGAAGCCTGAGCCGCTCTGGTGGCAAATCTGCCATTCGTGGTACTTTAGGCTGAGCTCGTCATCGTTGACAGGATGAACAGTTAAGCTGGTGGTGTTTAATAGCTTGACGTCCCCGCAACATCCAGTATTGCCTCCGTATTTCTGCATACACCCGTTCTGTACCTGGGTGCAACAAGCGCTCGTCGAAGTCTTTAATTAGAAGCTTTGTTGCTGGATGCTGCGGATCTAGCACTATCGGATGAATTTGCTCAACATCTGGGCTTTCCAGTCTCCTTAAACGTCCTCCAACTCTTAGTATATTAGTCACTGGATCCCATTCTGGAGCAAGACACATAAGTCGACTGTGGTTTGGTATAAGTTTTTGTGTTTTGAGGGCTGCTATTTCCTCAGGAAAACTCTGAGTTTGACACTCTCTCAATAGGATCAGTTCTGCTTCGCGATGATCAATGAGCTGGGTGTTTGTTGAATCATCTGTCGCTTTTTGACATGCTAGTCGAGTTGCCTCCACTAACTCCTTCCATGTGCTGAACTAAATGGCATGCGGAAGGGTTTGATCTGGTTGCGTAGTGGTTAGGCAGCAGATAGTGAGACTCTTCAATTCAGGTAACCCTTCTGACCTTGCCTGTTCAGGTCTCTTCGGCCAGTATTCGGAACTCAGTTTTAGAAATGATGGTCCCTGACTCCACCGACCAGGCACAGTAAAACTTAAGAGTGGTTTACCTCTAGTGATATCGTCCGCTGGGTTCTGCTGCGTGTCCACGTACCGCCAAGCACTGTGCTCTGTCAACTCCTGTATTTCTGAGACTCGTGTTCCGACAAAGACTTTGAATCTACAAGAGTCTGACTGAAGCCACTCCAGCACAGTTGTAGAATCTGTCCAGATAATTGTCTGCTGGATATTGAGAGTGATCTCATCTTTCAAAAGTTTTACTAGCTGTGCTCCCGCTAATGCTGCACATAGTTCCAAGCGAGGCACGGACTGTTGCCTCTTGGGAGCAACTCGCGATCTAGCAATAACAAAGGAAGTATGGACAACATCTTCTTTGTACTCTACTAAGTAAGCTACTGCCCCATACACCCTCTCTGACGCATCGCAAAACACATGGAGGTCATACTTCCGTTGTACATCATTAGGAACCGATGCATAACAGCGAGGAATGGTTACGGCACTAAGATGCTGTGATTCACTTTCCCATGCGTTCCAGGCAGCACGAAGATCCGGAGGTAAGTTTAGGTCATCCCATTCTCTTTTTTTGGACCATAGCTGTTGAATGAGCACTTTTGCTCGTGTGGTAAAAGGCACAATAAATCCCAAGGGATCATACTGAGTTGCTAGCACTTGATAGGCTGTTCTCATGGTCAGTGCTGCATGTTCAATAGGACGATAGTGGTATCCTAATGTATCAGCAGCACAATTCCACCTGAGACCAAAAGTTGGCTCCATTGGATCAGTCCTGTTCTGCCCAAGCCATTGTTCTGCAGCCACAGACCTTGCTTCCGTGAGTAGATGTGATATCACTGATGGCTGGTTGCTGGCCCATTGTCTGAGGTCAAATCCACCCTCTGACAGGAGATTGCGCAATTGATTGCTTGTTAGCTTGGCCTCGGATGCGGTTGGAAAGCTTGCCAGATAGTTGTCCACATAAAAACTCTGTTGCACTGTTTGTAGAGCACCTGGGTAACTCTCTTGGTTATTCCGAGCATGCTGTTGCACAGCAAAAATGGCACAACATGGGCTGCTGGTTGTACCAAATGGCAAGACCTGCCATTCATAAACGTCTGGGCAGTTCTCACAGTGTAAATCTCGCCAGATGAAGCGGAGTAGAGGTCTGTCCTCAGGCAACAGGCGAACCTGATGGAACATTCCACGAATGTCTGCACTTACAGCCACGTGGTGTTGTCTGAATCTCAAAAGGAACCCCAACAATGATGGGCCCAGTGCAGGCCCTGGCAGAAGCTGATCATTCAGAGACAGACCTTGATACCTAAATGAGCAATTGAAGACCTGTCTTGGTTTATCATTGTGACACACCAGGTGGTGGGGAATGTACCAAGCTTCCTTTGACTTGGTAACTTCTTCAGGTTGGAGCATAGTAACATAGCCTGCCTTAATGAGCTTATTAATCTCTCCAGAGTATAGAACAGCTTTCTCTGGGTCTCTCTGAAGTTTCCTCTCTGTGTTCCTCAGACTAGGCATAACTGATTGCATCGTGCTTATGAGTTTTGGAGCACCAGGTCTGCGGAGCAGCGGGGTGGCATAACGTTGAACTTCTTCAACCTTAATCCTCTGCGTTCGGCA